CACGAGTGTGTTGTCTTGGGTTAGACTCATCACAGTTTTTAAGGCTAAAGTCACCTGAACGAAATTTGCGGAATTATCTTTGACACTTACAAATGTTCAAAACATTTTTATAAACTTCATTGATATTCTTTGTGACTACAGAAGCGTTGTTTCCCTTCTTGTATTCAAACAGCATTATGTGCCGAATGTGTGTCTCGTCTGACTACAGAAGCGTTGTTTCCCTTCTTGTATTGAAACAGCATTATGTGCCGAATGTGTGTCTCGTCGTGTGCCACCACTATAAGGGATTAAAGTATACTACTCTTTACACATTATACAGGCTACACTAACGTTTAGGTGGTTCTTTTAACTATTATACATGATGCAAGTTTTTTGGGGGTGGTTAATAAAAGTGCTCCAAAATGCAACAATAATTTCTTGACGACTTAATACATGCAATACAGCATGAACTTTTATGGCCTTGCTATTTAAAATAAGCATGTTTTTGATGTAATCTAATTGTATTAATAGATTATTTGTTAAAGTTGAAAACTTTCATGTAATTTTGAAATAATTTACTGGTATTATACATTTCATTTCATAAATTGGATCTATGTGTAAAAGAAGTTAAAAAGCAAAACAAAAACAATGTTACATATTTACATTTCAGTCATTCACAAACAGACTGTGTTCACAGTACATGGATATCTTAAATTATGTTTAAAATATTTAACTACTAAAATAGAATATGAAATGATGTTTTCTTTTGTTTTTTCTGTTTTTTAACTGTGTAAAGACAAAGCATCTATCCTTAAATTCTATGTTTCACAAATAAAATATACATTTTGGAAAGAAAATATTATAAAGATTTAAAAATCCAGAATAATATATTTCCTCTAATTCTCACCTGATGTTCAAACCATTTAATTCCATTCTTAATAATCAAAGTACTTCGTTGTTGTTGTGATACAGTTTTTAAGATGTCTTTATCAGAACTCTTGGAAGGATCATCACTAGTGCTTGTGACTTGGCTATCCTGTATTTTGTATTTGTTTTTTCGTTTTTTCTTGCTAGTACTCATACTTGAGGATTGAGTGGCTGGCCGTTTATCATTAGTATTGCATACTTCGTTCAAGGTATTATTATCTCCTTTCTTATACTGGCGTGTTTTCACTTCCTTCTGTGGTATTTTTGAAAACTCTGAACTGTTAATAAGTATAAATATTAATTACTCTGTTAAGAAATAAAAAATAATAAGCAACATGTTTTGAAAATTTTAAGTTTACCAACATGAAAATTAAATCTTTAATATCATAAATATGGTATTTCAGTTGTCTTCTGCTCATCTCAGTGAACATATATTTGTGTAGGACTTGAGGAATATGTAGCACTAATGCTACCGATTTATTCTTCTAACTTATTTAGTAGACAAGTTGTTTTATTTTTAGACAATATTTATTTACATCTCCAAAATGTGTAAAATTTTCATTAAAATGTACATAAATTACAGCTTATATACATATAAGGTAGCATTTCCTTTCACAGAAAAGATTTCTAAATGTCAAAATAAATATTTAGATAATTATGTCAAAAAACATGTTATATCACATGAAAAATCTTTTCCAAGTAACCACACAAAAAGGTAAAATGGGAAGATTAGAGAAAAAGTGCTAAAACCAACATTTTTTTCAAAGTTACTCAAAGAACTTAGGACTTGAAATTTTGCTTTTTTTACATTTTCAAATAAAAATAGTTTAAATTTTGTAATAATATAATTGATTTTCAAAGTAAAAACTACAATGTTACAATATAAGTGCAAAAACTTTGAGAATTGTTTTACCACTAATCAGTAAAATTTAAATAATCTTAATTCAAATTTCTTGTATAATCAATAAAAATATTTGACTATTATCTAATGTTATAAAACTTTCATTCAAATGAGCTTTTTATTGTTTTAAGATTATATTTAGCATTATTCAACATGATATGTACATAGAAGTATAACTGTCAATTCTAATTGCCATTTTCAGCTACTGATGTCAGCAAGTGTTTCCAGTACATCTTTATAATTTCTATATATGCAGAAAGCAGCCTTTTAAGAGTAGTAAATTATTAATGTTAATATTTTAACAGTAAAATATAATACGTAGGAACACTTTAACCTTTACTATAGCCTTGAGCTACACCTTTGCTCGAGCTAAGATTTAATAGACCCTTTTAATCCTATCTCTCTGCTTCTTACTGGCTCATTTATTTGTTCGTCATTAGGAAGCTGCTATCTTAAGCAAATCTCTTTTTGTGTGTGTATGAATTCACTATATGGGTAATTATGTGTTTCATGCCTTCTGTTTTCTTCATGTCTCTACTTAATGTCTACTTTGTATTTTCAAAACCCCACACACTCAAGTTTTCTTTCAAACTCACTGATGTGGGGAAGAAATCTGGAACAATTAGAAGTAAATATTATCTAATTATATTGTACTACTAAAATGTTAATTCTGAACAAATGTACTAAAATCCCATTACAACCTAAAGCAAGAACTCCAACAATAAAACATGTGTGAGACCAGAGGACAAGAGGTACTTGTCATTCATGAGTAGGGGAGAAGTAATGATTTACAAAAAAGAAAGAAGAACAGTGAATGATAAACCGAATAGACCACAATGCTAGTTATCACTAAAGTTTTACAATCAGATCACTGAAGGGAGATGTTAGTTCAAAACACCCAACTGCAAAAACCATGACAACACACCAGACCAATCTAAGGACCTGGTAAGGCATCTTCAATTCTTACCCAGACAACATATTGACAGAGCAAGTATCCCTTATAGGAAGATGCCCAGGAGCCATGTCAACTTTGATCTCATAGCCTCAAAAGCAGAACACCAACACCATACTTACAGTAAGCAGTACAACTAAATCCTCCTCACCTTGAGGATGGAAGGGTTGCATCAAAAGAGTACCAAACTAACAAGATATAAAACAGCCACTATAGTACACTTATCAAGAGGCTATAGCTGACCAAAGTTGGAATACACACACACACACACAAAAACACAGGACTAGTAAAATATAAACCGACACTTACCTTATTAATACTACAGAAGATGACATTGAGAAACCATTAGAGTGAAGATGACAACCTAACACTAATGCAACTTGAGAATGATGTAGGTAATAGTTAGTGACAGAGAGGTAATTCATACATTTAAGCTCTAAAAAGATCCTCCTAATGGACTTCTAACAGCCACAGCAACATGATGAATCTAATGAGAAGAAACCTGGAACTTCCAACAGAGTTCCAGAAGTCAATACAAAAGAGACAAGCAACTTAAGCCACATTGTAAGCAAAGAAGCAGATTCATCCTGCACCATCATTTCCCAATATGATATAAATAATCTATCACAGAACATCTAGAAAGAGTTGCTCAAGTAACAAAGCAACATATTACTCATATTAAGCACATACACACACAAAAAAGACAATTTCTAATCGTGACTGGAGTGAAGCATCCTGGCCTCCTAAGGCAAACAGTTATTTTTAGTGTTATTTTCTATCCAGTTGTAAATATAACAATCCTTCACAAAAACACAGTATGCAAGTCAAGTCAACAAGAAACAGGAGGTAACAAAAGCAAAGAAATACATTTTCCAAGAAAGACACCTTATGCCACAAGTGATTAAAGGTTCAACAATGCTTTTTATAAAAACCAGCACAAGTTGTACCTTTTGACAACACCAAACTGAGAAATTTATTACCGACACAACCAGTGCCACCTCTTCCAATTAAGTTGGAAGCAAGATGCAGTGGCAGCTCTGACTCTAAAGGTAGTAAGCACTTAAAATACCAAAATAAATAGCTGCCAATTCCACACCAATGAGGAAACAGTGTACTACAACTGTGGCACTCATTAGCCCTTCCAAAACTCTTTATCCTTACAAACCAATGAAGTGAGAATTGAGATGTGTTGTAATCAATAGGTCTAATACCTTAATTACATATTGAATGTACACATTAGATCTAATACCTTAGTTAAATATTGAATCTACATGTTAAGCAAAATCATTGGCTGAAATCCAACCAAGTGTCAGTTTTACATCTTTAAAAACATTCTAACTCTCCTATAAGATATTTTAATGTTAAATGTTTCAAAACTTAGATTTAAAATACAATGTAATTGTTAATTTTTTTATGTTTTAGAATTATCCTAATCATTATTAGACTTTTTGTTCACGTGATTAACATTTATTTTGTTCTACAGTGTTAACGTTTCCATGTAAAAGACACATCCTAATACATTTTCATCTGTAAAACTGTGTGGATAACTTCTTGACCTGCATAACCCTACATGTACAGGTGGGGTCAAAGTGCCCATGCGACAACCTTGGTTGGTTGGTAGGTTGTTTTAGAGCAAAGTCCAATGACCTTGTACAGAATGCTACTCAACATGGTGCTATGAATTTGATATCACAATTATAATTTTTCATTTTAACCTACATTGTTGATTTTGCAACAGTTTGTGTTAGAGAAAATAGCAGATACAATACACAAGGATATTAAAATTTAGGTATGTATCTTGGAGTTTATAAGGGTTTTGAAATGCAGTATGCAAATTGTTAAATGGAAAAAAGTATTTTTAGTTCTCACATGAATATCACTCTGATTTGTCAGAATCTGAGTCAGACTGATTTCATCATTTCAAACATATGTATCTTTAGTATAAATAATTCATTAACATATCTGTTATATTGTATATAACAGCTTGCCACATCTTGTGAAGATATACTTGGTAAATTCAAAAGTATAGTCAACACTACTTCTCCAATACACATTCAGATACACTATTTGCAGAACCCTTTGATAACCAAATTTACATTAGTTTTGTGTGCACAGGGAAGAATTATCACACAGTTATCTTGCAGCTCTGTGCAGTTCTAAAAATATGTGAATATTAAATAACTACAAACAAATATAGTTATTACAACAGTACATGTTAAGTACCTATGTATTTTTTTGGTTAAGTATCAAGTGTTTTTAATGTGTATGTGTAAGATTTTCTAAAGAAACTGTAATAACATTTTCTACAATATATGTGGGAAATTAAATTAATTATATTGCTCTTTTATTAAATATTTGCTAAAATTTTGAAAATAAACAACAATTCAAAAGTGACAGAAACAAGTTGAATAATAAAAATGAATTAGTAGACTCAGTTGCTGGTTATAAAAACAAATAAATTTATTATTATATTTTAACCCAACATCTGTTTTGTTCTTTAATCATAAACTGATCTCACTTAATTTGTATGTGATAAAACTAGATTAATTCATGTACACATAATGCTTGTACTTTATCAAAATTTTTTCTCTTCATGGTAGTCACATGATGCAGAATGAAAAATATAACAATGGGAATGATTTATTCTGTTAACTACTTTTTACAAAAGAGAAAATTGCATGCAAAATTTATACAACTGAATCAACTTAGCATGATACACATTTTAAGAAAACAAATGTAAATACAAATTGAAATAATGTTTAAATTAGGACTATTTTATAATACTTAATTTTGCAATGTTAAACGAAACTTATAACAGTGTAATTAATGCTTTAGTTTACAAGACTTTTCGTGACTAAATACCAACGTTATATTAGCAATGCCATTCCTTAAATTTATTCACTTACGTTATTTTGCTTGGTTTTGACTGCAAGCCTAATTTTTTGATAAAAGCCCCAACCTAGATTTGAAAAAAACAAAAAACATACATAAACACACAACTAAATTATATATATATATACAGATTTCTATATATCAATCTGTGTGCATGAATGTCTGTGTGTGAAAAATACATACACACACACAACAATTTTACAACAAATATTTTAGAATCACAAGTGAACTTCAGTACTTTCTTGTTAACAGTTTCTGGAAACAAAATTTTTTCAAATATATTACACTATCTAAGTACAAAAATATGTTATTGTCTGTAATACAAGTAACATCTAAAAAAGTGCAACTATACACACAACTATTTCATAATAAACCACTTCAGCATATTAAAATATTAAGATAGTACATTACAGATTTATTGCCAAAAAAATTAATTCTTAAAGCAAAATCAGTTGCTGTTGTTTTTGTTAAATACATATTGTGTCATCTGGCCAGTGTTTGATGCTGTGTGTGTCCAAAAAACAACTATTACTAAAAAGAAAGCAGCATGACAGTAATATTGAAACAGCTATTGTTAGTTTGTTTAAAATAAATTACTAAAGAAATGTTTTATCATTAGGCAAGTGAAAAGGAACTATCTGTCTCTGGCAGTTAAACAAACATCTACTTGATTTGCTAAAATAAAAACAAACTGATAGAAACAAATCACAAATATCTGTAGGTTGTAAATTTTTTACCTCATAATTTTCAAAAAAAACACTGCAGTACATGTCAAAAAATTATTCTCTAATCATATTGATATACCTGTAGATACTAAACAGGAACAAAAAATAACAAAAACAGTTAAAAGTTTTGTAATTTCAAAATGTTTTCCTTTTTGTGGATGATCATTTAAATACTTTGAAGATTGCAAAATCAGTCATAAAAAAACTGTTACAACTATTTATCTAGTATGAATAATCCAGTATTAAAATGGTTTTTGAAAGAAATAATAGCAGCCTTATGACTCTAGGGAACATTTGTTCTTACTTTCGTGTGTTTTCCTTTATAGCTTCATGGGTATACAAGTAAAGGAAAACTTTTCAAAAAAAAGGAAATAAAAGTAGGGATTACTAATATCAATCCTTCAAGAAAAATGCAAACAAAATAGTCAGATGGCACTTGTATCATCCATACATAATAACACAGGCACACAGTGTAGTGAAATGTTAACAGACAAAAATAAGATAAATTAAACTCAATTGTGGTTGAATATTTATATATATATATTGCTATATGTTAATTCTTGCCCTTGCTATTATGTAGGGATGATGCAAATGCCATCCCTACTATCTTGTTTGCATTCTTTTTGAAGTATTGATACTTGCCATCCTTACATATACTTCTTTTTTGAAACGTTTTTCATCACTTGTTTGCTTGTTGTTGTTTTTTAATGCAGTGTTTCAATGGACATAGGAAGGTTGTACTTATAACCAAGTTCTAAATACAGTGAGGTTCCAACTGTAATATTTATTGTTTATCCGTTATTGGCTGGTAATTCTTGTTTCACCCTGTACTTAAGCTTTTTAAAGGAACACCAAATTTCTGTAAAAAAGCTAATACAAGGGGTAATGATAACATTGTTTACACTAGAATTATGATTTTTTTAAACTACAACAAGT